TAAAAAAAAAAAAAAAAAATGCTGGGTGTTACATGCTTGTAATACCACCACTCAGGAGGCTGAGATCGGAGGATTGCCATGAGTTTGAGGCCAGCCTGAACTACATAGAGAGACCTTGTGTCAAAAAACAAAAAAAACAAGGAAAGCAAAGAAATGAACCCAAGACCGCAAAGCCAGGTGATACCTTTGTGTGTCATGTTCCATGCAGAGATTGCAATGTCTCCAGATTTATTCAGCTTCTTATACAGTGTTATCACTTAGCCCCTATTCCTGCTGGTGTACTGGAGCCAGTTCATGCCAGCTTGGCATAACAGGCCAAATCATTTGGAGCAGGAGTTGCCAAACAATAGAGAACAAGTCTCCCCCCGCCACTGTATATATTATTTATTAGCATGTTACTGTTTTGTTCCAATAATTCATCAAAAATCTGTTACATTTCTATCAAGCTATACTCACTGGCATGTTTTTGTTAATGTTCTGGAAATAAATTTCCATGAGTCTTGAAAAAAAAAAATAGACATTCTCCTTCAATATCCCTTACAACCACCCCCCACCCCACCTCGTCTCTCAGTGGGGGGAATAATGTGGATAATACAATTGGGGCTACTGGGCTGCTCCCCTCTGCTTCCTGCTGGACCACTCCCCTCTACTCACCTGAACCTGAGCAATGCCCAGGCCAAACCCCTGACGCTTGTCCTAGGGGTTACTATATGGAGGCAGAGATTTTTTTTTTAAGTGAAGGACTCTCCCCACCAGAGTTAGTTCTAAGAGCTACTCTCAGGGTCCCAACCAGAGGTCCCCAGCTATTCTGGGCTCTCCTCTGCTCTTCAGCCCCAAGAAGTATCTAGGAGCAAGGACAGAGGAGAGGGCCAGGCCCTGATGACCTGAGGTGTAGATGCACCCCACCCTGAAGTCTTAGGGGCCTCCTCCCAGGCTGTTCCTGAATTCAGGACAAGTTCAGCCCCTGCAGGGGAATCTTCCAACAGCCCTCTGGCTAAAGAGAGTGTCCTCGGGATTCCATGGCACCCCTCTTACCCTCCTGGACCTTCTCAGGTGGGCCCCGGTTGGCTGCGCGGCCTTAGACCAGTGGCTGCTCCCCTCTGGGCCTCATTCCTGGCTGAGAGCTGCAGGCTTAGCCTCAGCCCAGCCCCGCCTGGCACCCGCTCTGCTCTTCCTTGGCTTCTGCCTGGCTCAGCTCCAGAGAGCAGCAGGGCAGGGCTGTCACATGCTGAGCCACGTGACAGGTGGCGGCTGGGGGCTCCATCCCATGCAGAGGACAGGGGCCTCTGCAGCCCCCTACCCCGCTAAAGCCTCCAGGGCTGCCAGAGTGTGTCTGGGCCAGAAGACCTCTCTACCCTCCCAGGTAGGCCGAGGAGGAGCGCGGGTGGGGTGGTGATGAGCTTGAGCATCCCCAGGTGCAAGGTCGGCCCAGGGGCCCCAGGCCAGGAGCCTCCAGGCAGATCCAGGGCACAGTGGGGCGGGGGACTGCGGAGAAGTCAGTAGCACAGAGGATGTTCCTCTGACACCTGTAACCCAATCACTTGCCTGACTGTCCCCAGCAGCTGCTCAGAATCATCCCCTTTGTGCTGGCTCCAACAGGTGTGCCCGGGGCGGGGGCAAGGCAGGGGACAGGCCCTGGGCACAGCTCTGCACCTGACAAGGAACAGGACTTTGGGAGCCATCACGGTGACCCGTAGCATCAGGACTGCTGTCCTAGAGGGTAGAGGGTAGCACTGGTCCCCAGGAGATGGAGGGGACATCTGTGGGGATGGATCTTGTGGGCAAGCCCTGTCCCCTCCCTGGGCCCCTTTCCTCATTTGTAAAATGTGAGCTTTGGCGGTGTGTGGGGGGTGCTCTGTGAATGGGACTCTGCCGGAGGTGGTCTTCAGGGGCCTGGAGTTAGAGAGGGCAGTGGGCAGGATCCTGAGGTTGTTTTCCTGAATTCCAGCCATCTCTGGCTCTGGTCTTCATTTTGTGGAAGGGCTCAGAATAGACAGTGCCTCAAAGAAAAGCTGGGGTAGCAGACAGAGCTTTTCTTGGTATTCTGTCATTTCCCTAGGCTCAGAGCTCGGACCTGCTGTGTGGCCTGGCTACTGCCAGACTTCTCTGGGCCCTGCCTCCTCCTCTGTGGGCCAGGCCCCACCCCCCAGGGGCCGGTGCTGGTGATAGCTCAGTCAGCCTACAGTTGGCCTTGAGCCAAGGTCAGGCACCAGGCCAGGGCAGCCCCGCCCCATGAACTGGTTGGGTTGGACATTTTGTAACTTCAGGACCGGAGAAGAGCAGGGACAGCTGGGCCGTCAGCAGCTTGGCGGAGCTGAGGTACTCTGTGCGGGGGAGGCTGGGGCTGCATCAATCAGGAGGGGCCAGGACCCAGCTCAGCTGCTCCGGGTAGCTGGTGTCCCAGCGAGCTTGGCTACTCTCAGCCATAGCTGCACTCACAGGCTGAGCTGTCCTGCTGAGTTCACCCACCTTCTCCTTGGAGGGGGTATGAGGAACCCAAGGTGGAGGGGAGGAGAGGGAGGGCTGAGGAAGGCACTGGCTGTCAGCAGGGAGGCACAGGGAGGCCTGAATAAGCTCAGAAAAGACTTCTTGGCAACAAACTCTGCCAGAGCCGGGGAAGGAGGGAGTTGGGAACCGCCCTGCCCTGAGGAAGGACTCGTCTGAGGGACTCTGGGATCCAGGGGGGTGGGAGGCAGCCTCCCTGTGAGAGTTGGGGGGGGTTGGTTCAGTCCTTAGGCTAAGGGGTACCTTGGTCCAGCTCCCCAAGGACCCCACGAGGGGAGGGCTGCTGTCCAGAGCGTGGGAGATGTTGTGAACTCCAGGTGTGGACAAAGTAGCAGGAGGTTAGAACTGGAGACCCTGATACTGAGGCTTTCAGGCTTACCCAATCCCCACACCCTCCTGTCTCCCTGATGGGGGTCCCGAGGCCCTTGGACAACATGTTCATGCACCTCTGTCACCACATTCCTGCCCCCACCTGGGGCTCACGTTAATGCCCCACCCTCCTGACATCAAGGTCCCTTTGTGTCCCTATCCAGGGTCTTTTCCTCAATCTCCCTCTGGAGCATCTGTCTTCATCATTTTAGTTCAAACTCAGACCCACAGTGACCAGTCTCTACCCCAAGATAAGTACTCTGAAGCTTGACTTATTCCTCCTGCAGCGTTGTGGGTGGCTGCAGGTATTGCCCCCATTTCACAGATAGGAAAATTGAGCCACAGAGAGGCCACAAGACCTGCCCAAGATACTACAGCTAATAATGGTAGTTGCTGGGATTTGAACCTGGGTCACTGGGTTCCCAGACCATGCCACACTGGCTGGGGCACCCTTAGAAGTCAATGGTGTAGATGAGGACTTGGAGTTGGAAAGTGCTCCTTCCCGGAGTCCAGTCCTCCTGACAGCCGAATGGGTGAGGAGCAGACATCTGCCCATTGGTGGGAGTCTAATGGAGCACAGGGCAGGGCCCTCAGCAGCAGGCACCCCATGAGTCATGGGGGACGGCAGACCTGGGTGCACACCCCACTCTTCCCCTTGCTCACGCCTGCGATCCAGTGCCAGTAACCATGGTGGCCCAGTGCCTGGCAGGGTCAAGGTGTGGTTATTACTCTGGAGCAAGTGTACCACTGAGCTACATCCCTAGCCCTTTTTATTTTTATTTATCTATTTTTGTTTTTTAGTACTGGGGATTGAACTCAGGACCTTGTGCTTGTGAGGCAGGTAGCAGCACCACTAAATCCCTGGCCCGTTCCCTTTTTATTTTTGAGACAGAGTCTCACTAAATTGCCTAAGGTGACCTCAAACTTGCGATCCTCCTGCCTCAGCTCCACCCCCAAGATTTCTGGGATTTTAGGCATATGCTACCATGCCCCACTTGCCTGATTATCATTTTTAGAGGACTCCTCAAGCCCATGGTCCTGAGGGCAGTGGCTTGTCCTGCCCTGGCCCTGAGGGGAAACAGGACCATCTTCTCACCATCAAAGGTTGTGGCGAATTGCTTCTCAAATTGCTTCTCGCCCTTTGGCTAAGATCAAGTGTAAAGGTTGTGACAACTCCAGTCCCACCTCGCCCTTCTGGAGACCCCTGGACCCCATAGCCCCTGGACCTCAGGAGCTTGCAGAAGTCTTGGGCCCCTACACCCTTTGCATAGTGGAGACTGGCAGAAACAAGCCTGAGATGGAGCTGTGGGACCTTCTCTCTCCTGCTGGCCCCTCCCTTCCCTCAGAGACAGGCCCTGGGTCCCAGCCCACAAGTTTCCCTTCCCCCAGGGACTGTGGCCAGACTGGAGGGACAGTCTCTGCTCTTCTGGATCCAGATTATTCACTGTGAAAGAGCGGAGTGGCAAGCTCCCTGCCTTCTGTGTCTTGTCTCCGTCTCCTTCAATTGGGTGAATAATGGTCCTTGCTGGCTGGCATAGCATGTAAATGTCAGATGTACCATGAGACCAGGGCTGGTGCCCATCCCAGTGCCTGAGCATCAGAAATCCCGTTTTTTTTGCATCAACAATGTCTGCTCAGCTCCTCTGTGAGATCAAAACCCAGGGTCCCCTGATCCATCCTTGGGTCCTCTACTTGCCAGGGTCCTGCCTGTCCCCACTGCCTGATGGGCACTCCCTGGGGCCTCAGCCAGGCCAGATTTGCGGCCTCCCTGCTGCTGGGAGCATTGCCTTCTGCTGTTGCCAGGAGCAGCTGCTGGAATCTTCTGTCCTCAAAGAGCTCCCCTCCCCACCAGGCCGTCCGTGGTCCTGTTTCTCAGTTTACATTTTTGTGGGCTCTGCAGAGTCCCTGATGAAAGGTAGGAGGGACAGGCATGTCTGCCTTGGCCCTGGTCAGTGGCAGTTAGAGGTGAGAGCCAGAGAGAAAGGCCAGGAGAGTGGGCAGGGCAACAAATATTTGTAGATGTCTTAGTAAAATAACTGTAACTGACCTTTCCTGAGCCTTCTGTGAGCACAGTGCCAAGTGCTTTGTGTAGCATTACGCCGTGGGATCCCCAGCAGAACTAGGGACCAGGAAACAGAGGCAGAGAGAGCGAGGCTTTGCCCAGGATCTCATCAGAGCTGGAATCCCAGGCTGCTGGCACTCTGAGACCTGCAGGGCTTCGTTCACTTCAGCTCCACCTCTTGGGGCCAGGGCCTGTCCTGTGCTGAGCCAATTGCCCAGCCTTGCCAGGTCAGAGCGCAAGGTCTTTGGGTTCGGCCCGGCCCCCAAGCTCAGAGCGGGAACAGCCTAAGGCTCCAAACCTGCTCTTGGACACTTCTGAACAGGCCTCCAGAAGGTAAGGGCGCAGGTTTGCCCCTCAGGGCATCCATCTGACAACAGCTTGTAGCCCTGGGGTGGAGTAGAGGAAAACAGAGCAACTGGGGCTTTTACAAAGTGATGTGACCAGGTCAGTGGGAGCACAGCCGAAAGACCACTGTGAGGGTGGATGAGAGCTCCCTGGAGGAGGCATCAGCCCAGCTCAGACCTGAAGAGAACGAGAAGCAAGGGAATGAGGGCGGGGTCCCCACAGGTCCTAGACACCAGGCTGAGCCCCAGATGCGTCACAGTGCTCCTCTGATGAGTCTCAAGGACACAGGCAGCCCTGTCCCGCTCTCCAGCCCTGACGTGACAGTGTGGAGACAAGACTGCCCCTCACCCCTTGCACTATCACTTCCTCCTCTGATCTGCAGTCTGGGCTGGCATGGGGGGCAGGGCCTCCGGAGGCCGGGTTATTCTTCCCCTTGTGGGGCTGTGCTGAGGTGCAGGGCGAGGGACCACCAGCCGCCTGGCCCCCTGTGCAGTGCTGGGGAACACGGAGAAACGTGATTCTGGCGTGGTTTAAAGTGGTGGTCACGTGGCCCTGGCGGTGTGACCCCTCCTGTACCCCCACTTGGACGGCGGGGTGAGGCCACAGGGTGGGGGTGGGGGACCAGCCAGGGTGCTGTTGCAGCAGGAAGAAGTGTGGCCCTGGCCCGCCTGCCCAGCCCTGCAGGCCGGGAGTGGCTGTCCCACGCTCCATCCCGCAGCCCTGAGCACCCCGGCAGAGGGAATGGTCTGGGGGATGTTATGTGTCCCACGGGGCAGGGCTTGAGGGGCTTCTGGGGCCCCTATGTGGGGAAGGACTGTGAGCCGTGTGAGATTGGCAGGGGCAGGGCTGCTGCAGGCCCTGGAGTGGCTGCAGGGTGTCCCCAAAAGGGGGGCAGCCCCGAGACCACCCATTTCACTCCAGCCACCTGGTAGGATGGATACCTTCGAGGACACAGCACGTCGGCTGCGGGAGGCCTTCAGCTCAGGGCGGACCCAGCCTGCCGCGTTCAGGGTGGCACAACTGGAGGGCCTGAGCCGCTTCCTACAGGAAAACAGGCAGCTGCTGCAAGACGCGCTGGCCCAGGACCTGCATAAGGTGGCTGGGGCTGGGGACGGAGGGAGGGCTCATGGAGTGGGGTTTGGAGGCAGCTGGGACAAAGGGGACAGGAGAGGCCTGTCCTCTGGGAAAGGGGGAACTAATAGCCCCTCAGAGCCTAGCTACTTCCCTGGCCAGAACTCGCACCTACTTTCCTCCATTCAGCTGCGTTGGAGCACCCACTGTGAGCCGGGCTGAGGCCTAGGCTCTGGGATACACAGAGAAGTAAGCAAAGTCCCCATCTACTGAGCTGATCTTCTAGGGGAGACATCCCAACAGTCAACACAGTTAGAGTGTTGGGAGGTGACAATGTCACAGAGGTATTCCCAGTGGGGGGGGGCAGAGGCTTATCTGTCGGGGAGGAAATTTCCCTGTGAAGGGTACACAGAGCAGAGATGTGGAGAAAAGGAGGGATGGTGAGGGCTCAGTGCAGCCGTGCAAAGGCCCTGAGGCAGAGGGAACTTAGAGTATTTGTGCTTGAGCAGCCCCAGCAGGCCAGGGCTGCTGGAGGGATTGGAGAGACAATTGAAAAATGAGGCCTGGTGGCCTCCCTGGGGACAGACCACCTTGCCACCATCAAGCCTCCACCAGTTTCTCACTGGCCAGCCCAGCCACCTCCCATCCCTGACTGGGCTATCTGGTCCCTTTCCCCCTGCAGCTCAGATTTCGCTTCTGCTTTCTCATCCAGACTCAGGCAGCCCGGGACTCACAAAGGAAGCAGCAGCCCAGAAAGTTCAATGGCTCCCTCCCTCAGTCTCAGCCAGCCCATTGCTCCCTGCCCCAAGCAGGGAGCCTCTGCCCACTGCATTCTCAGTTCAGCCACACCAGCTCTTGCCCAAAGAGCTCTTGACACCTTCTTGTCCAAAGACACACAGCCAGGAAGGGTAGAGCTAGGTTTTGAACCTGGCTCAAAGTAGCTTACTCTCCCAGAGTCATATGTTGAGATGGCTCTGCACTGTTCTGGAAAGCGGCTCACATCCTATTCCGGCCCAGGGCACTTACCAGAGATGAGGAGGGGCAGGCTGACAGGCTGGCAGGAAAGGGGCCAGGCTCGGCCACTAGGAAGTGCAGGTGGACGTGGCACTGTCCTCCCGAGTCCCAGCCCCTTCTACTCGGCTCATCTCCAGCCCTGGCCTTGCCACTGGTTTGCCGAGGGACCCTACACAGGGCACCCCCTTCACTGGCCTGCATCCTCCCACTGGACCATCCCAGCAGCCCTCAGCCCGTCCCACTCTGCTGTAATAGAGGACAGCTTCACTGTACCGGCTGCGACTCAGGCAGGGACAGCACCTGGCTCTGGTGTCCCAGCCACAGCCTTCTGCTGCTTGCAGCCTTAAGGACCAGTGTCCTGGGGGCTGGGAACAGGGCATACCAGCTGGTGGAGATCAAGACAGCACCCCTTAGATTTCTGTCTCCCCACTCCTGCTGCCAGTCTCCCCTGGTCCCTGGGCTGTGGGAACTGACGTGTACCCAGGGGCAGCTGTATGCCATGTCCCCTGTAGGTGGCTCAACACACAGGCACAGGCAGCCATGCAGCCAGTCCTGTTAAAGCCTAGACCCTGCCCCTGCTCTGTGTGGCTGGACTCCACCCCATCACCTCACCCACTGCACTCCTTGCTGAGCAGGAACAGAGCTGGCCCTTGCCAGCCTCAGGGCCTTTGTACCTGCTGGGATCTCTGCCCAGCATAGTATGCCTCCAACAATCCAGGTCTCCCTCTCCGCCTTTCTCCAAGCACCGATTACCTTGTACAAAACGAAGCAAATGCACATGTCCGCGCACACTTGACTCATGCATACCCACACCTCCTGCACACAGTCCACCCTTTGCCCTGCTCTGCTCTTTCCATAGCACTTGTCACAACAACGCAGCCATCAATGTTCTCATACGTGGTGACCGCCCCTGTCGTGGCATGGTTTCGGCCTCACAGGGCAGGTTGCTCCATCTGTTTTGGTCACTAGTGCATTCCCGGTAAAGGAATAGCACCATCTTTGAAGCCCTCACTGAGTATTCGTGCGCCAGGGTGGGCCCTGCTGGAGAGAGGCTGTGCCCCACCGTGCCCTGGCCACTTGCTGACCTGGGTCTCCGCCCTGCAGTCTGCCTTCGAGTCAGAGATATCTGAGATCACCATTAGCCAAGGTGAGGTGGACTTGGCCCTCAGGAACCTTCGGGCCTGGATGAAGGACCAGAAGGTGCCCAAGAACCTGGTGAGTCTTGGGGACAAGGCTGGCAGGTGGCTTCAGGGACTGTTTGCTCCTTTGGGATGGCTTCTGAATGCCTCTCACTGTTTACGCAGGCCACCCAACTAGACTCGGCCTTCATCCGGAAGGAGCCCTTTGGCCTGGTGCTCATCATCGCCCCCTGGAACTACCCTCTGAATCTGACCCTGGTGCCTCTGGTGGGGGCCATAGCGGCAGGTGAGAGAGGAGCCTCCACCTTGCCCGTCCCCTGACCTTGAGGCTGCAAGCCAGGGAGGACATAGAAAAGCTGGCTGTAGGTGTCCCTGCGTGGCCCACCACCCAGGGCTGTGTTGCCTCGGGCCCCAGCTCACCTCCAGGCTGAATTCATTGTCTGAAAGTAGGTGAGAGCTGAGCCTGCCCAGCAGGGTAAGGAGACGAGGCAGGCGGCTTTGCCCAGTGTCTCTCTCACTGTGCTGCCTGCAGGCAACTGTGTGGTGCTGAAGCCTTCGGAGATCAGCAAAAGCATCGAGAAGATCCTGGCTGAGGTACTGCCCCGCTACCTGGACCAGGTGAGCAGGGCGATGGGGCAGACAGCAGGGACTGGTAGGGCCTATGGGCTGGGCAGCCCCTCATGTGTGAGGGCCACAGGCTTAGCCCAGTGCTGCCTCTTCTGAGGTGTGTGGCTTGGCCAAATCACCTTCGCTCGGCCTCAACTCTCCTCTGAGGGTGGCCAGGCAGCCTGTCCCTGGCGGTCCCATGACTCACTAGGGCTGGCCCTCGCTCCAGGCCCCACTCCCACCTTGCTCCATTCATCCCCCCCTTGAGCCTGGGCAGCCCTGGTCGCACCAGCCAGGAGGGCAGTAAGGGCCAGGCAGGTTAGGCTGCCATCGAGGCTCCAAAGCAGGGGTCCCAGAAGAAGCCCTTGCCTGTCTACTTTGCAGAGCTGCTTTGCCGTAGCATTGGGCGGGCCAGAGGAGACAGCACGGCTGCTGGAGCACAGATTCGATTACATCTTTTTCACAGGTGAGGCCACTGGGCATCTTGTCCCTGCCCTTGGCAGGCAGATAGCCGGGGAGGAACTCAATTGCCCTGGCTGGGAACAGACCTGGATGCTCAGGAAGGGACGGAGTGCTGGGGCCACAGCCTACTTCTGCCAACCATGATCTCAGGAATAACGCATCTGCCCTTCTGAGCTTCTGCTGACCCACTGCCCAGGGCTGTATTGGCAACCTTGCATGTCCCCACAGTCCCCTGCAGGCTAGTCACTGAGGGACTAGGCCAGGGTGAGGAAGTGCTCCCCTCTGGGTCACCTCGCTGGCCAGATCACCTCTGTACCCAAGCCCAGACACCAGCTGGTTTCAGGACCAGAATGCAGTTTCTAGAGACAAGGAGGCAGGACACGACGCTTCCAGGGTCTGCCCGAGCCCACAGCTCTCTTCCAGCCCTGCATATCGTGTCAGAGCGATGAGGGCGCCAGCCTTGTCCTCCTCTATACAGCCTGCGCCCAGCACAGGAAAAGTCCTGTCTGACAGGGAAGCCACTATGGAGCAGAGGGGCGGCCCTCACTGTGGGGAAGCTCACCTCCTACAGTCACCACAGATGGGGGACAAGGCGTGGGGAGGGCCCCAGGGCACCCCCAACCACTAACCTCACAGATCTGGTGGGTGCTAGGCCAGGCCTCTAGAGCCGGCGTGCGGAGGCAAAGTGACTGCCACAGGCTGGCTTCCGGACCAGATCCATGAATCTACCCCATGATGTTTCCAGGCCTCAGTTTCCTTATCTGTAAAACCAAGGCAGTCCCAAAGTCACAGGTCTGCCCCAAAACGAATGAATCAAATGATGCATGAAGTCCTTGAGAAGCATTTATCCCTTCCTGTCCCGGTGAATGTTCGCTAAGTCAGTGATGTTTCCTGCATACACTGACCTTAGGAGGTTCTGCAGAGCTGGAAGGACAAAACCTCTGGAGTGTTACAGGAGGGCAGAGAGCTAGCAAGAACTGGGAGAATTATGGAGCCATCCTCATGTATGGAGGAGGAGGAGCCACCATGGATGAATCCACCTTAAGAAGAAAGAGCCAGGGAAGGAGCCACCTCCCTGGGGAGGGGCCCTCCAGACCTTGGAACTTGGGGAGGAGTGTGCAGGAGACAGAGAGACCCAAACAATAGCCGGGCCATGAGCTGGACTCTGGTCTTGGATGATAAGGGGGTCACTGAAGATCCTAGGGGAGAGTGGAGCGGTGGGAGGTTGGAGGGAGCAAAGTCGAATTTTAGAAAAGGTTGTCTGCAAAGTCAGCCAGGGTCAGAAACAGAGAGGCCAGGCACAGTGGTACATGGCTGGAATCCTAGCTAGGAGGCTGTGGCAGGAGGCTCAGTTTGAATCGAACCTGGGCAAAATAGCAACTCAGCAAGACTCTGCCTCGATGGATGTGATGGTGCGACAAGTAGTCCCAGCACTCAGGAAGCTGAGGCAGGAGGATCACTGTGAGTTTGAGGCCAGCCTGAGCTACACAGAGTTTAAGTACAGCCTGAACTATGTAGTGAGATTCTTCTCAAAAAAACAAAAAAAAACCAAAAAAGACCCCACCCCATTAAAAAAAAATAAAGGTAAAAAACAATAGGGCTGTGGATATAATGCAGTAGTAGAGCACCACTGGGGTCAAGCCCCGGTATTGCCAAAAAGAAGGAAGGAAAGAAAAAGCTACAGAACAAGTAGGAGCTGAGGGACTCTACTGGGTGGGTGGGGCCTCACTAATGGGTTCCCAGAGCAAACCCTGTGTTGCTGGAGCCTCTGCATTTTGGGGGTATGTCTGGGGGGCGAGATGAGCAGATTCCTGGTCTGCAAGGTGGCAGAATGGGCAGGATGCCAGGTGAGGCCCGGTCCCAGCTGCCTCAACCACCTCTCCAGGAAGAAGCAGGGACTCCAAGGCAAGGCCACCCTGCCTGCTCAGGGTGACTGAAGGGCCACTCTGGGTTCTATGTACTCAGGGAGCCCTCATGTAGGCAAGATTGTCATGACTGCTGCTGCCAAGCACCTGACGCCCGTCACCCTGGAGCTGGGGGGCAAGAACCCCTGCTACGTGGATGACAACTGTGACCCCCAGACTGTGGCCAACCGCCTGGCTTGGTTCCGCTACTTCAACACCGGCCAGACCTGTGTGGCGCCTGATTACGTCCTGTGCAGCCCAGACATGCAGGAGCGGCTGCTTCCTGCTTTACAGAACGCCATCACCCGTTTCTATGGCGATGACCCCCAGAACTCCCCCAACCTGGGCCGCATCATCAACCAGAAACATTTCAAGCGGCTCCAGGAACTGCTGAACTGTGGCCGCGTGGCCATCGGAGGACAGAGTGACGAGAGCAATCTCTATATCGGTGAGCACCCCTCTCTCCCACCGCAGCCCACCTACCTAGGACCCTTTCTGCTGCTAGAGCCTGGCCTGAGTCCATAGTCCCAGTCTCATGGTTCCAGAACAAGAATGCTCCAGCCCACTGTGGTTCTGAGCTTGTGACTCTGATTCTAAAATCTGGCTCCACAGCTCTGGATCTGCTGAGCTCGGACCTCAACTCTGGGGGCCCAGAGTGTGGACTGTCACCTCATATGCTCTTCCTCAAGGGCAGGACTTGGACCCCAGATTCTCAGATCCTAGGAGCTGGTGTCCTGGGAGGTCAGACCCTGGGGCTCTCTGGCTTCTCCCTAAGGAGTGTCCCAGCTGTGCACCAGGCTGAGCTGCCCCTGTGTCCACAGCACCCACAGTGCTGGTGGATGTGCAGGAGACAGATAAGGTGATGCAGGAGGAAATCTTCGGGCCCATCCTGCCCCTGATGACTGTGAGGAGCCTGGACGAGGCCATCAACTTCATCAACCATCGGGAGAAGCCGCTGGCCCTGTACGCCTTCTCCAACAACAGCCAGGTGGGGCCCAGTGGGCTGGTCAGGGTGGGATCAAGTACCAGTAGTGGACCATGGGAGTGGGGCAACAGAGAGGATGTGGCCCCTCTGGGTCAGTCATAGGACTTCAGGGATGGTGGCTTCGTGGCTCTGGCCCTGCCCTCCCATAGTAGCAGATGAGATCCCCACACACCCTATGTGCACCACACTCCGCTGAGCCTTCAGTGGGCAGCTCCCCCAGGATCTCCAGGGCCCAGTGTCCCTTACCTGTGTCATCGCCCATCATCTCAGCCTAGTGGCCACAATGTTGCCCCTCAGTGCCTGGCTCTGGAGGACATGGGGGAAAAGAGTGCAGGAGTGACTAGAACATGCAAGGCCCAGAACGAGCCTTTGCCCCCCATCCCTGGACGCCCCAGTGGCAGGGGGCAGTCCTCAGCCTAGGACACACCAAGAAGCACCAACAGTGCCTCTCACCTATCCCTCATGACAGTCTCTCCCTGTCTAAACAATGGGTTGTACTACTTTTAAATTTGTATTTTCATTAGTACACAGTTGCAGTACTGATTACATTCGTCATGGGAAGTTGGTACATGTACATAACACATCTTAACTTTTAAATCCAACAGTGGTTTTAAATATACTTTTTATTCCGGGGACTAACTTTAGATTTAAAGAAAAGCTGCAAAGACTGCAGAGACCCTATGTATCCCACATTCCATTCCCCACAGAAGGTGCTGACTGGGTACTGCACCAGTAACTGCTATTAAACTTGGGATCCTGCCAGTTTCCCATTAACATCTCTCTGCTCCAAGATCTGATACAGCACTAAGCTCAGCCTGAAGCGCTGGCCAGGCCTCTGCAGTGTCCCTAATCTCAGGTTGTCTAGGTTTTCTCATGATGTAATAATAGCTATGGGTTTTAAGAATGCTAAAGAAGCTAAAGCTGACTCTGGGGTACCTTGCAGTTGGCAAGTGTAACTATCACCAACTGGGCAAGGCCCAGGTCCTCTATGAGGTACCATGGCACCCCCACAAACTAGGGAATGAACCTAGGGTCTACACAGAGCTACGTCCCTAGCCCTCTTTATTTTTTGACAAGGTCTCATTAACTTGCCCAGGCTGGGCTCCAACTTGCCATCCTCCTGCCTCAGCCTCCCAGAGTGCCAGGATTATAGGTGTATGCCACCACATGCAGATCCATTGCACCCCTTCTTGTCTTTGGGTCAAGTCTCCCAATCTGCCTGCCTCGCTGCAAGTGGCCTAGTTAGGCCCTATCTGTGGGAGGGAGAATATGTGCTACATGTATCATCTACATATATTCTCTGGAACGCTTACATTTAGGTCATAATGGACTCACACATTTATGTGATTCAGGGGCCCATGATGTGCTCTGTCCCAGGCTTGAGCAGAGGAAGTGCCTGTGTCCCCGTGGCACACCCAGCCTTTAGTCTGACTTCTCTGGCTCTACAAGAAGCCCCAGGTTTCTTCTTGGGGTCACCTGGTCCTCACACTGTCCTAGACACCCAGCACCGGTCTCAGGACACAGAAGGCACCTGCCCTCACTGTTTAGAAGTCCATGGTGCTTTGTGCTTGTCCTGTGGCCTTGCTGTGGCCACTAATGCTGGTCTCAAAGCAAGAGATATCTGAGCCTACTGGTGGAGGGGTCCACTCTACCACACATCATACAAGCGCGACATAGCTGTCATCTGAAGGTCACACTGACTGGAACTCCTTGTGGTCTGACTAGTGTCTGTCAACCATTTGTCCTGTTCATTCTTCAAATAAACCCAAAGACTGAAGAAGAAGGTCCTTCATTAAGTCAAGCAGGGGCCAAGTTCAAGTCTCTAAGTAGAAATCTGACCACGTTGTCATGTCTTAAAGTGTCCCCACACTCATCCCACACAGCCCGTCTCCCAGGCTGCCCTCCTCCTGATGCCCTCAGGAACACGTCCCTCCCCGGGGATGCCTCCCTGACTACGGGCACCTCACTACTGCTGCTGCACTCTTCAGGTCCCCAGGCGATGCTGGGTCTCTTGCCTCTCCTATAGACCATACACTCTGGAAACTTGTTCCAGGTTAGAGGTTGCACACAGGACAGCTCCACACTTGCCCTGAGCCGACACAATGGCCCTAGGCCCTTGCTGAAACAAGACAGTGGAGGTGGGTTCAACCTTCACCCTGCCTGCTCTCTTCTAGGTGATCAAACAGGTGCTGGCCCGGACCAGCAGCGGGGGATTCTGTGGGAATGATGGCTTCATGCACATGACCCTGGCCAGCCTGCCCTTTGGAGGAGTCGGTAGGTGTTGCAGCAGCCTGCTCTCCTGCACCCTTCTGTGATGCCGAGCATTCCGACTACATTCCTGCTGCAAAACACAGTGGGGTCAAGGAGGCTCCTTTCCAATGACTGGGTTCCACCCCCAGCCTCCCAGCCTGTACCCCACCACATCTGGCACAGAACCCTCCAGACCTGTCTGCACTTATCCATACAGGTGGACCGCAGACAATTTCGGTAGTTTTCTTTGCTACCCTGTCCACCCTTTTGCTGCTCCTTTCTCCCCACAGCATACCTTGGGGTCTGTCCATCTGTCCACACACACAGCTGCTGAGTGCTTTTCACTCCATGCTGCTCCCTCACCCACTATGTCCCTGCAGTCCAGCCCTAGGTACAGGGAGGTCAAGAGTGTGAAGATGGCCCACTCCCGACACAGCTGTAAAGCCCTGACCCGAGTCAGTGACTCCACAGCTGTTCCCAGAAAGCCTTTCACAGTCTGTGACCAGGACAGCCACTTCCCCTCCCTGAGCCAGCTTCCTCAGTGCAGGGGTAGAATTGGAACAGGTGACTCAAGGTCTTCTTCCCTGTCCTAGCAAGCTGTGCCTGCTGGAACCTAGACTGTCCCTGGAGGGTAACCTGTGCCACAGCTGTCCACTGGGCTAACACCATGGCAGCACAGGCCTAGAAGGGATGAGCACACTGCATCCCCTACTCTGGACCTCTTTCCAGCCTCTGAGAGCCTCAGCTCTCTCCTGAGTCCCTGACAGACCCTGCCTACCTGCCCCTCCCTAGTCCTAGCTCCTCATCCTACCTCCTCTTCCCCAGAGAGGTAAGTGGGTCTGTTTGCAGGCAAATCTGGAAGCCTCCTTGATTGCTCCCAGCACCACCTAGGCTGTGTTCTGTAGACAACCCTGGCCTGGGTCCTTGTCCGTTTCTCTTTCTGGACACAGAATTCATAATAACACAGTGCTCACTTTGTCCATGGTCAGAACACTTAGTTGCTGTCTCAACTCTGGGAGGTGGGTACCAGTGTCACACAAAAGGAGACTGAGGCAGTTGCTTACTCAAAAGCTATTCGTGGCAGAGCCCACATCCAACCCTAGCCAGTCTGGCTCCAGAATACTTTCCACTGACCACTATCTGCCTATCTTGCCCTGATATCTGGTATCCCCAGGGCTTGCTAAGCTGGTCCTAAAGCCTTCCCTGGGGCCTGGCCTTTTATATACAATGCCTCATAATTAGCTCATTGTACGGATGGGGAAACTGAGGCTCACAGGGGTGATGTAGCCCTCCCGTCAGAGCCAGGTCTGCCTGACATCCCCTTGGCTGGCCACTGTGGTCCTGACCATGTGTGTGCTCTGCTACATACAGGTGCCAGTGGGATGGGCAGTTACCATGGCAAGTTCTCCTTTGACACCTTCTCCCACCACCGCGCCTGCCTGCTCCGCAGCCCTGGGATGGAGAAGATCAATGAGCTCCGCTACCCACCCTACTCATCAAGAAACCTGAGGGTGTTGCTGATGGCCATGGAAGAACGCAGCTGCAGCTGCACGCTGCTCTGAGTCTGTGGGCACCAGGTGCCCACCCTACTCCCTACCAGCTGTGGCAGATATGGCCTGGGATCCAAAGCACAAGGACACTTGCCAGGCAACAAAACAGTCTGCTTAGCACAGAGCAATGCCCGCCTTCCTCCCTCTTGGGGTTCCCTCTTTGGGCCTTCAGCTGCCCCCCAACTAGGCTAAGCTGAGTGAGAACATGGGACGGATGTGCAGTGACAGTGACCTGTTCCCTTCCTTCTGCACCAACCATCCATATCCTAGAAGAGGTGCAGCAGAGGAGCCCTGTCACACCTTGGAACCTGTGTGTGACTGTGCCATCCCTGTCTTCTCTAAGCCCATTTCCTCAGCTGTGCACTAGAACTAGGGGTGATGAACAAGTGATACCTCCTGAGACTATATGAGGATTAAATTAGGGAGGTGCAGACACCAAGCTCCTGATACCCTGTCTCTTCTCCCTGGAGTGTGCCGCCGCCTTCTCTCATCAGGTGGGCCCCTCCACGGGCCTCTCAGGACCTCCCCACACCTTGTCCTCAGGAGGTCTCAGGGCTCTCATTGTTTCTGCCACCAAAGCCAAAATCCCGGGCTTGACAACCAAATTCCATCTTTGAGCAAATCCTGCTGATACTGTTGGGCCCAGGAATGTTCCGATGCATACTCAATCACAATGCTGGGGCAGGCCTGGTGCAAGCCACCACCCATTACCTCCCTTCTTCCCTTCGCCCGGGCCCGCTCCCCTGTGAACACTGATCTCCCCAAAGCAAGCTGAACCATCCCACTCCTCTACCTGAGACCCCTCGGGGCTCCCTTGACCCATAGGTCTCGCAGTCCTTGGGAGGCTCTATCTCTCTAGGGACACGTAACAGCCCTGCACTCAGTCTGTTCTTGTCCGGAGGACCTCTACACATGCTGCACATGCCCTCTTCATTCTCCCTGGCCTGCTCAAGTGCTACTCATCCTCACCCAAGTCAGCGCCTCCTCCAAGAAGCCTTTCCTGACCACCACCCCTCAACATCACACACTGACTGACTCAGGGGCGTCTCAGAGCCCGCAGTCCCCGGGGGCTCCTCTACCACAAACACAAGCGAGGAAATAGGCGGGTGGAGAGACGAGCTCCCAAGCCATACGGATCCAGGCGCAGAACAGGGTCGCACCGCGCGACTGGCCGGCTTGACATGTCCTTGCCTCATTTCATCTGGAAAGTGATAATGATTCTCCCACATGGGGAGAACCGTGAGGACTAGATTAAGTTACAAGGACAGTGTCTGGGTGGAGAGTCGCTACATCGGATCCTCTTTGGGGTCCTGACGCCGCTCTCAGAGACAGCCCGGCCGCCCTGCCCTCTGCACCGGGAACTACTTTCAAAGGCACGCCTCGGAAGTCCCGCCTCCAGCGGCTCGGAGGTCTTCGCGAATTGGCCTCTGTGATCCAATATGGCGGCGCCCTCCAAAGCTTCAAGCGCTTACTTTCTCTCAGCCAATCAAAAGAAGTATATCTCGGAATTCCTCCTTCTTCAGGTGGGACCACCGGCCAATCAGGCCGCAGCATGAAGGATCACCTCGAAAAAGGCGAAGCCAGCCAACCCAATAGTAGTGTCGCAGAGTTAGGCTCCTCCTCTCGGCCGTCCATCCCGCTCGGCTCGGGAAGGAGCGGAAGCTCCTCAAGGTGGGTATTCAGGGCTCGGTCGTGAAGGTCAGGCGTGGGCAGCACGGCGTTGAGGGCAGGTGTGGTGTGGTTTATCCTGCAAGCTCAGTGCTCAGGCTCTTTTTCCGGCGATTTAGGATCCACGGTCTCAGTCCTTCAGCGTGTAGCGGGCGCTCTCTCAGCGCATGCGCAGCCTGACGGGCCCGTTCTTGCGTCCATGGCGTCAGAGGTCATGGGGAGGGTCGGAGAAGGTGGCGGCAGTGTTTGGTATGGGTGCCGGAGACTCGAGTCTGGTCAAGAGTAGGTCCCAGCAGAGGTTACAGGAGGGACACTACACTGCCGGGCTCCCTGCCAGGTTCTAAGCTAGACCCTTGCCCTTGGGGTGGACGAACCCCCAAGTCTCACGACATACACCTCCCCCCACCCGCGTCTTGGAAATGAAAAGCCTGAGGTCAGGCGACCTCACCTGCTCAAGGTCGCTCAGGAGGCTGGGACAGTTCTAGGAGAGCCTTGCAGTGGGGAAAGGAATTGGACTCTTAAGAATTATTTAAATCTTTAATGGTTCCACCAGGGCAGGACTGAGTTCCAGTTCTGGACCCAATCCTATCTTGTGACTTTGGCCACTTAACAGGACAAGATAACAGTGCATGTGGTTCACTCTCACACAGCCTGGCACTAATTAGCTCTCGGTATAGTGGCGGTTCGTTGTGGGTTTGTTTTTTTTTGTTTTGTTTTGGTACGGGGATCAAAGTTAGGACATTGTGCTTTCGAGGCAGGCGGCTGAACCACTGAACTAAATCCCCAGCCCCGTTCCTTGTGTTTTTGAGGTGAGAATGTGGTGGGCACGGGAGAGATGATAAGCAGGAGTTCTGGGGAGAAGCAATGGGCTTAACAGGCTTTTTAGTAAGTGAGAGAGAAGGAAATTGGGGTCCACAGGAACTCCCAGCATCTTAAGCTGGCGAAGCTGGGATGGTTTGGAGGGCTATGAGATGCTATACCTGGGAACCGGAAGGCCCAGGAACAGGGTGTAAGTCATGCTGGAGGTGACACAGAGGCTCCCGGTGTGTCACAGTACCAGTGTGCCTGGGGTTGGCAGTCCTTAACCCCTCTTTCTTCCTTATGCTCCCAGATGCAATGCCTGACCATGCCCACACTACTGCGGGCCCTGGCCCAGGCTGTGCGCACAGGTAGGAAGGACCAAGGGGGCCTATCCTAGGGTAGGGAGCCCAGTCTCCTAGTGTGAGATACCACCTACAGAAGCGTAACTCCTCTCCTTGCAGGACATGCTGCTAGTGGCCGGAGCATCCACAGCAGTGCCATGGTAGCAACCTACAGTGAGTACCTAGGTGGCCTCCAGCATGGGCTTTCCTGAGCATGGTCTTGCTGGAGTCCAGGGAGGAGACTTGGGCCTCAGTTCTGACTTTGCCAGGGGCTCCTCATTTTCTGCTCTGAGGATGATGGAGACTGAGTGTAATTCATGGGGCAGAACCCTCCTTTGAGGAGGTGGGGTCTCAGCACATCTCATTGTGATGGAGAGGGAACCTGTGAAGGTAAGGGACAAGCCCCTTACCCTTTGACTCAACCCTTGTTTGAGGGTCCTTAGCTCAGAACTGCCTGGGACCAGGGAGAAGCAAGCAAGGCCTGCTTAGGGCCTGTGGCACCTCCCAGGGCTCTGGCTTGTGTTAGGGGAATGAACCCAGTGGTTGTACCTAGGTGTGAGGGCCAGGCCTCATCTCCTGAGATGGATTCCTTAACCTCCTCCATGGCCTTCCTGCAGAGTACGTGAATATGCAGGAACCCACGATGGACATGAGGTCAGTGACTGACCGGGCAGCTCGGACCCTGTTGTGGACTGAGCTCATCCGAGGTGGGTCCTGGTGGAGGTGGGCAGACTTGGAGCAGAGGTCAGGTACAGATGTGCTGGGGAGGAAAGATGCCCACTCACCATGACTTGCCGCTCACAGGCTTGGGCATGACCCTGAGCTACATGTTCCGGGAGCCAGCCACCATCAACTACCCGTTTGAGAAGGGCCCGCTAAGCCCACGCTTCCGTGGGGAACACGCCCTACGCCGTTACCCATCTGGGGAGGAGCGCTGCATCGCCTGCAAGCTTTGTGAGGCTGTCTGCCCTGCCCAGGTGAGCCCTGGATCCCCTAGCTACCACGCAGGGGAGTCCATGAAGCACTAGACCACAACCTGACCACTCTGTTTAAAGCATTTCCCCAGAAAATTCCCTTTCCTGCTTTGAGTCTCCTCCCCCACCCTATGAGTGGAACCAATGAGACCTTTTTGCCCAAGTATCGTGAGTCAGCAAGTCAGCACAAGCCGGCATCTGCCTGCAGACCAGGTGGCACATGTGGGGCCTTTCCTGGGGAATGGCTGAGGGTAGGAAGGTTGGGTCCAGGAGTCACGGGATGGCACCCAAGGTTTCTTCAAGAGCCCATCCCTGGGCTGGACTGAGACTCACAGCCGAAGCCCTCCAGCCCCTGCCCCATCTTGATGGCTGGTCTGGGAACCATGTCAGGACATAGCTGGCAGTGTGGCTTTGATTGGTTGTGTTGGTGGGTCTTGCACAGACTACCTGGAGTCAGGGCCTCTGATGCAGGAACAGCTATGGCCTTTGTCCACAACTGGTGTGCACAGCAGGAGCCCTGGCGGGCATAGTCCATACTCATGGTCTGTATAGAACCCGCTTTTTATTTCTGTGGATCAGGGCAGCTCCTGGCATAGTCCTAGCACATGTCGTGGACCTCTCCCAGGTCCTCCAGGCCATGGGCTGTGGCCTTGACATTTCTCCTCCAGCCATTGTCCGGAGCACATAGGAGAACCCCCCAACCCATGGCAGCAGTGGTGATAGTCATGGTTTCCAGGTGGCGAGGGTCAGGCCAAGCCCTGCGCCAAGCTCATTCCTTAGCACATTTAGTCTTTGTGACAACACCAGCAGATAGGATCATATTTCCATTTTTATGAGCACAAAAAGATGAGGCTGTCAGGCAAAGGTCCCACAATGAATAGTGAACGTGACACTCCTGAGTGGGGTAAAAATTAAGTGTACTTGAAGGTCCCCCAAGCTGTCCGAGGCACAGGCACCAGGTCACCTCTTTCCCTCCGCTGTGATAAGGCTGACCCTGGGTACTGAGAGTTAAGGCCGTTTTCAAGTGTGGGCTCTGTACCTCACTGGCTGTGTGGCTTCAGGAAGCCCTTCAGTGTCTCTGAGCCTCAGTGTTCTCATCCATCAAATGGATATAACTAGACCTGAATTAGAGTCTTCTTAGGCCTAGACAGTCACTGGCAACTTACTACAGATGAGATGACCCCTCCCCAGAGCTACGGGTATGCAGTGAACAAAGCAGGTATCAGCCCTCCCCTTGTGGGAATTATGTCCTAGGGTAAGAAATTGGACAGTTAACTTGGGAGCAAAAAGAGTGTCAGATGAGACAAGTGACAGGGTGAGAAGGCAGATGTGAGGGGTTCCCCAGAGGATCTGGATGATAATGGAGCACCTGTGCAGACACCAGGGGTAGGGATGAACTGAGGGCTTGATCCAGGGCCAGGACGTAGCTGGCAGTGTGGCAGTGACCGGTGGCCACTCCCCACACAGGCCATCACCATTGAGGCCGAGCCCAGGGCCGACGGCAGCCGCCGGACCACCCGTTATGACATTGACATGACCAAGTGCATCTACTGTGGCTTCTGCCAGGAGGCATGCCCTGTGGATGCCATCGTTGAGGTGAGTGGGTCTGGTGGGCCAGCTGGGGCAGGAGTTCCTGGGAGGAATCTGACCAGGCTGCACTGTACCCCAAACTGTAGGGCCCCAACTTTGAGTTCTCCACCGAGACGCACGAGGAGCTGCTGTATAATAAGGAGAAGCTGCTGAACAATGGGGACAAGTGGGAGGCTGAGATTGCTGCCAACATCCAGGCCGACTACCTCTACCGGTGATGTGCCCACCTACTGCTTGGTGCCCGCAGCCCTGCTGCCCAATAAAAGCTCTGATCCTCACTGTTGTTTCCTGTCTTGTGTCCAGGGACTTAGGGTGGATCATCCCTAGACTCCCAGCGGCCTGTGGCTTCTTCCAGCTGGAGCAGGGTGTGATCCACCAGCCTGTTCTCTCGGTGGGTTCCAGCTGCCCAGGGATCCTGTGCTGGTCCAGCCCTCCCGTGTGACTCCATGGGCTCATCGGGCCTTGTTCATTGTTGCCCATAGCAACCCTGACACCCACACGTCTTCCTGGGCATCGTCCTTTAGGTACAGTAATCCTGGAGGCCACCTGAGGCCTGCTTTTCCCATAGTCTCCAGTGCCTTCGGGGTGGGGGTGGGGGCTGGGCCTGCTTCTCCTGAGACTGAAGGCCTAAGACCATTAGGAATTGGAGCCTCTGAGGCCCCAGGCTGAAGTTTGTTAGGAAACTCAAATAGGCAAGGCATCTTTTGCCTGAGGAGGAAGGCTGCTTGGGTTACAGTCACGAGGGGATGACACAAAGCCTCCTGTCCCTTAGCTGGCCTTGCCTCTAGCCACATCTTCCTCCTAAATTCCCCACAGCAGGCTATGGCCCAGCGTTGGGACTTGCCCAATTTGCAGTCCCAGCAGAGTGCTGTGGTTTCCTCTAGCACCATGCACTGATGTAATGGCCACTGACAGCCCCTTGATAGGCACTAGGAGAGGCTTTCCAATCATTCTCAGTGTGAGAAAACAGGCTTAAGAGTGGTGAAGTGATATCCTCAGGTCATATACATAATGTCCTGTTCAGGTCTAGGATATTTCAAGTCCCTTCCCCTGTCCTTCCCAACAGTGCTATTTACAAAACTCTCCGAGATGCATCTGGGAAAGAAGG